CCCCAAAACCCCAAAACCCCAAAACCCCTGAATTGAAGATTGAAATTAAACATTTAGAATATAATTAATTAATTAAATGCATTTTTGGATAATCTACTCAGCTATTATTAAATCATTGGGCTGATTAAGCACTTACATTTGATTATATTTCACTTAGTAAATCCTGAGTAATATTCTCTATAATCTGATCCTTATTTAAGCCTTACTTCTCATAGTCCTATATCTTTTACTTAATCTATAGTTGAAACCTTTATACATTAGCAATTTCCTCTTGGTTCTCATAATTTATCTTTAAGTTAAGCATTGTTAAATCTTCTTCATTGAACTGGCATACTTCAATAGCTTTGTTTGAGAATTCTACTGAAAGCCTAGCGCTTTAGAGAAATTCAAGAAGATTGAATTTGTATAGTTCTGCTGCTTTTTTGTTAAAGGAGGTAGAAATTTTCAGATATTTAGTGTCATAGAATACATTCCAGATAAATTGCATTAAGTCTACAAAGAATCCATCTTGAAATATAGGTAAACTTGTTCTATATGTGCTGCTATTATTCTCAGGCTAATAATAGCTGTTTTCTTTGTTTTGATCAATGATGATAGAATAGTCAAGGTAACCAGAGTCAAAATCTATGAGAGGATGAAATATCTTATTTAGGAATTATATTTATGGATGTCTCAATGGAAACCTATCAGGGAATATTAAATTGAACTTGAATGCTGCACCTTCGTACAGCCCACTTCTTACAAAGATGACACCATTCCAGACTATCAATTATATTTTAACATTGATTAGTTACTTTTGATTTGTTCATTTAATTCTGGCTGCTCTTAAGTCAAGTATATTCCTCCAGGCAACCCTTGATTGATCAAGTTCTAGCTATAAGAATTTACTAAAATACTTCTATGGAATCCTTACTATTGCTTTATAATAAATTATTCTCGCTTCAACATGAATTCAATATCTCTCATGGAATCATTCATAACGAAACTTTGAGAAAGTTTATTTTTTACCATTTCTAGCATTATTACTATTTATTTACACAGTTAAATTTTAAATGATTTAAATTCAAATTTCTAATTATCCATCCTAAGTATCAATAAAATCCCTCAAATAATTATGAAATTAAGATTAAATTCTTTGGAACTTAAATTCAGAAGGTCAATAATATCACTCAAACATCATCTTCTAGTAATTGCTGTTATAATCCTTAGAAGCCTCTTTACTTCCACTAACTGGGTCGTAGAACTTACTTTACTCTATCTACTTCCCCTTGCCAACCTTTTTCTTAACAATCTTGGCATCAGAATCTTCGCCATATTCCTCAACTTAATTAATCATATTATTCATTCTTGTCATAACGTCCTGATCTTGGTGGATACTACTGATTCTGTGAATATTTGAACCGAATTTAGCATAGTGCTCTTGTTCATCATTTGAATCCATGCTTCTCATTGAATCTTAAACAGCTTCTTATACCTAAATATAGCCTGATGCTGCATTACTCTTTCTTGACTTTACTGAGAGAGGCATGTTTCTAATTGAATCATAAACTGCTTTTATATTCTTAGGACCTACTGAATTTCTTTTTCTATTTTTGCTTGAATTTTTGCCAGATGCTGAGGCTTTGAATGGATTGCTAGCATTCTTGAACTCATCAAACAGTTTATCCTTATTCTTGACTGTCTTTAGATCACTTTGTTAAGTCATTTATCTTTTCATTCCTACAAGTTCTCCCTTTTTAAATAAATCAGTTGCACTATTTCTACGACCATTTTCATTGTTGAATTTAAGTACTGGCGAGAAATTATCTTAAGTATCGATGAAATTCCTAATATTCTTTATGTAGTAATCTACGTTGCTATCATCCGTCTTACTTCCAATTTGATTAAGGCAAATTTCTTATATCTAGCCCTTATGATTTACATAAAATACTCTGCCAGATTCAAGTGATATTTCAGATTCTATAGGATTATGAATGAAGTTAAAAGTTACCAAACTTATAAAAGTGAACCATTTTGGAGGTATTATCTAATCTTTTTATCGCATCATTAGTCATAACTTAATTGACTATTATCCTGTTATTATTGATTTCCCCAATCTGATACAGATGTCTCAAATAGTTGAAGCTAACTTCATTATCAAATGGAATGAAAAAGTTCTTTATCTTTCCGCTAATTCTAGACCAAATGTCAGCAAGTCTACCATCTAAATGAACGAATACTATGTAGTTATAAAATATGAACATATTCACAATCAATAGACCAAGCTGAATAATAAAGGTAAGGAAGTAACCCACAAAGCCTGAGCTGTTAGCCTTGTTATAATATATGTACAGTTTGAATAGATCTCCATCCCATTCTTGAGCTGCAAAATCTATCACTGCTATTAGGAAGAAATCAAAAACTGTAGCTAGGCCATACCAGGCAATGAATCTGCAGAATGACCTTGGGAAGCAGAATATATATTTCTAAGATAAGTAGCATATAAGAATGAGCATGCCAAGGATAAACATATTTGCTACAACACCAATAGTAATAACTGCTACTTCTTACCCAATATTCCAGAAAGCATAGTTTATTCTGATTTTATACCAATGAAGTTCTAAACTTATAACTGGTGCATTCATTGCTTTTAGAATAATGTACTAACCAAGATAATGGATAACCATTCTCAGCCATATTACTATAAATGCAATAAGAAGTGTTTAGATTCCATTTCCAATTTAAAGTTTCTTTATACCTAAGTCAGCTAAGATCTCTCCCTATTTGAAATCATTAAAACTTAATTAGTACTTACTGTTACATATTATATTTTTCTGATAGTGAGATCTTTGTTTTCAAAGTAACTTCTTAGGTCATAGTTGGCTTACTAAATCTTATATTTGTATGAATAATAGTCGATATTTTAATCGTCGTCTAAGCCATAGTATTAATCGTGGCTATCTTCAAAGTCTGATTCATCATCACTTTTGGGCTGCTCCCCTTGTTCTTCTTTTTCAGCCTCATCATCGAAACTCATCTCTACTGGTTTAGGAATCAATGAGAATTTATCCTTAACTTATTCTTTTCTTTCCTTTTTAAGTTTCTTTTACTCCTCAATGGGTATTTTAAATTCAATTCTCTAATTATACATCTAGAAATCAACCAACTCAAATTTTTTGACTTAGATGTATAAATTACCAAGCCACTCATCAATATTTCTAATATACTTTTTCTCAATATCCTTAAATTTGTTACTTGTAAAGTCAATATCACCATTAAGCAAAGGCAATTTAAACTTGCCCTCATTGATCTCGAAATCTCCGTTAACTAAAGGAAAAGCACCCCATGCAGCAACATAGTCATTCTTTTGGGTTTGTGAGCTCAACCATATCAACTCAAATATAAGAACATTCGATGGGACAAGGTACATATTTGGTGGCACTATATGATAAAGTTTATGCCCACCAAAGGTCATCTCATCTGAGCTTGGGTTTGCTTCAAACTCAACAAGCTTAGTATGTTACTTGCCAAAGTCAATCCAAACTTTTTCCATGTTTTGATTTTTTGCATTAGTTGTCAATTCCCCTCCTTAAGGCTTATACAACGAATATCTGGCCATTTTTTCAAAATCACTTTGCTCATTTCCTTTATCAGACTCTTCATCCTTAAATTTGGAGTTCATTTATCTTAAACTAGCCCTGAAGTGCTCATTTTTAGTTTTAGTATCGTTTTCCAAGTCATCATCCTCCTACTTTTTGACATCTCTGCCAAACTTTACAGCATGATTCTCATCATCTTCATCTACGTCAGACCTAGAGTCAAGTCTTCTAGCACTAGGTATGGTATCTTTAAATAGTACTAACTACTTTTCCTCATCATTCTATTCTTTTTACAGTAAGAGTTCCTCACTTTCATCCCTTTCGTCATTAATATTATTTTTAGATTCATCTTTCTGTGATAATATTGCAGATGAGGTGTTAAATAATGCCTTATTTTAAATCCTATCTTCCTCATTTTTCAATTTTTCCTCTTCATCTTTGACCTTTTTTGCTTCTTCTTCAGCTCTTACCTTTGCTCCATACTCTAGGAATTTGTAGTAGATCTTATTTTCTATCATTCTATCTAGAACTCCGCATCTAATAACATAGTTACCTTTTGGCACTTTGTCTTTTAGACCTCTTATCATCATGGTTTTAATTTCTACTGGCTAAGGTGTCTTGAGCCACCGAGCACCAACCTTTTGATCTCTTATGCCCTCAAACATTCTAGAGGCTTTCTGCTTATCCTTCTGATATGGAGGTAACTTCCTTATTTAAAACTTGGAAGTTCCTTCATTAGATAGAATCTAAGATTTTATTTTAGAATTCAATCTACCGTACAGTTTTGTTAAGGATCTCTCCCTTTCTCTTGCTCTAAAAATAGATTGAAAAAGGTTTTAATTTATCCTTACTTGAATTCAAATTATGCTTCTAGCTCCTATAATGACATGGCTCTTGAGGCTTTAGTTAAAAGAAGGTTTTGCTCACTGTATCCTTCTTTCTTTAGCAATGAAACTTTCTCAGCTTCAACTTTTCTCAATTCCTTTTCTAGTCTTTTAAGCTCATTGAACTCTAGAGTAGATTCTTTCTACAACATATCCCTTGGGTCAAGTTGCTCAATATCCATTTCCTTCGATTGCATCTCATCGTTAAACATATCCTCTAGCTCTGTGTAGTTTGTATCCATTCTCTCAAGTTTTTTATGAATTGTATCGATGTCTCTCTTCTTTTTATCTCTATAAACTCTGGGTGATAATTGTTTTTTCTCTTCAGGCTCATTAAAAATTAAGTCTTCATTATCATATCTATTGTCATCTATGTCTAAGTTTAGCCCAACGAATGTCAGGTTATGTTCATTTCCTCTTTAGCTGTATTATAGTTTGTTGTCAATATCACTTTTCACATCAATATCCTTGTCTTCCGCCTTGCTATTGAGCAAATTTTTAAATTCTTCTCTGTTACTTGAAAGTTGATCTTGCATCTGGTTTCTACGTATCGGAGAATGAGTCAAATTCTACCTATTGGTTTAATAATTATTAGTCAGATTCTTAGTAACAAAGATATTAGTAAATTTAAAATTTAAAATAGTAACTTACATAACAGATCTACCAGCTTCTCTCTCATCCTCATCTTCATCTAGAACAGTTTTAGTTTGATAGCTTGTATTTTTAGGGA